CCAGCCGGGACCCAGGGCCCCCATAGGCCAGCCTGGCAGTCAGTCAGTGCCAGCTCTTGCCTGGTGTCTGTGCACAGAGGCCGGACAGGTGAGCTGGGATCCCTGCTCCGGGCCTGGTGGTGCCCCTCCCTGGTGGGCAGCGGAGCGAGGGCGGCTCTGCCCAGGGGCCCGCGGCCCGGGATGGCTCTGACGCCCACCTGGCGGGGACAGTCACACTCCATCGGTCACCTGGGGCTGGGGACCGAAGGCAGCAGGTGACGGCCTGTTGCTGGGGTGCCCACTGTGGCACAGAGCTGCCCCCCATCCCCCAAACCCTCCCAGCCTCCCGTTGGGAAGCCCCGTCCGGCTCCTCCTTCCGCTGTCCCCAGGACGGTAGAATTTGGCTGTATTTTGTGGCAGGGCATCTGGCACTTCGGCGAGCTCGGCCGTATAAATCCAATCCAGCTATTCTTAATAAGAAGGCCGAGCGCTCCTACGAGATCGCAACCCGCTTTCCAAAGGGCGCGTGGGGGGTGAGCCCCTTTGGACAAGTGGGGAAACTGAGGCAGCACGGCATGGCACTGAAACACGTGTGGCATTTTAAGCCCATCCGGGCTTGTGTGTTCAAAGGGACATGTGCCAAAGTGCCTTGCTGAACTGGGCGGGTGACTCGCCCAAAATCACACAGCACCTCAGTGGCAGAGTTGGGGACACAACCCACGGGTCCTGCTTCCCAGTCCCCCCTCTTCCACCCACTGGACACCACTCCCCTTCCAGAGCCGGGAAAAAGAACCCAGGAGTCCTGACTCCCACCAGCCCCCACTCCAGAGCCAGGAAGAGAACCCACCAGTCCTGGCTCCCACTCCTATTGTTCCTAATTATTATGAATGGGCTGAACCCTGAGGTCCTCGTGGAAGGAGCACAGAACTGGACCAAGGACTCTGTCCCAGCGATTCCCTCCTCCCCGCTCGCCCTAGGCCATGCTCTGGTGAAGTCAAGAGGAGACTGTTTGAACTCAGTGGCTTGGTTCTACCCCCTCTCTCAAAGAAACAGCGTAGAGGTGGGAGCTGGGGCTGGGTCCCTCCCATGCAGAGAACTGGGCATATTCCATCCCCTCCTCCCAAGGTGCCAAGGGCACCCCCGGGTGTCCTGGGCCCCCTCACCTCCCAGCCCAAGGCCTTGACACTCCTCTCACCCGGGGAAGCGGTGTCTGCCCATCGGTTGGTGCGGTTCCCTCACTGCTGGGATGGCCGTGACTGTCACCAGGAGGCGAATTTGATACCAGGCCGGTTTCAGGTGATACGCACCTGCCAGGTATTGGATACCCTGGGGAGAGGAGCTGCCGGGTGGGGGATGACGGGTGAAAGATCTGCGCCGTTTGGAACAGCCAGGATCTTGGTAAAGCCATCGGCAACCTGCCCCCCCGCCCCACTCCCATGGAAAGGCACCTGGCTCCTCATGTAGCCCCACTGATTTAGGAGTAGCAGAGCACCCCCTACCCAGGCCGGCAGAATCGGCTCCTTTTGCACCAAACTCTGCCAAGGAGCAAAGGAGTCAGGTGGAAACTTAATTCACATACTAGCAAAGCAAATGCCCTTCAAGATGCGGGGCTGAGCCAGAGTCATGGCTGTCTGTCTGTTGTTATAGCCTCAAGGACATTGTCACAGGGCTTGCCCGTCTCAGGTCAGGGAGTTTGGGACTCTGTCTCTGACTGGTGCTTTGGAGAAAAGCATAAAACCAACGCACCTAAGTAATATCCCACAGGGCAATTTCTTCCTGACCACAGCTGGTGTGTACCATGAAGCATGAAGACTGAGAACCCACTTTACTAATCAGTTTCTCATAGTTTTTTCCTCCCCCTTATTTATAATGAAAACTTGAACCTAAACTTTTACTTTCTATCAAAAATGTGTCCTATGGATATAGTCCCAGTCACCACAGTGACTGAGCACCTCACAGTCATGAATGGATTTTATCTTCCCAACTCCCCTGGGAGATAGGGAAGTAGCATTACCCCCTTTGCACAGATGGGGAAACTGAGGCACCAAGAAGTTATGCAACCTGCCTAAAGTAACACATCAGGTCAGAAGCAGGAATTATATCCAGATCTCCAGGCCTGTGCTTTAACCGTCAGATTATCTTTCCTTCCATCAAATACAAATAAATAATATCATATCATCATTTCTCTAGAGCAGTGGCTCTCACCTTTTCCAGTCTACTGTCCCCCTTTCTGGAGTCTGATTTGTCTTGCGTACCCCCAAGTTTCACCTCACTTAAAAACTACTTGCTTACAAAATCAGACATAAAAATACACAAGTGCAACAGCACACGATTACTGACAAATTGCTGACGTTTCCATTTCTATCATATAATTATAAAATAAATGAATTGGAATCTAAATATTGTACTTACATTTCAGTGTCTAGTATATAGAGCAGGATGAACAAGTCATTGTCTGGATGACATTTTGGTTTGTACTGACTTTGCTGGTGCTTTTTCTGTAGCCTGTTATAAAACTAGGCAACTCTCCTGATGAGTTGATGTCCCCTCTTGAAGACCTCTGTGTACCCCTGGTTGAGAGCCACTGCTCGAGAACAAACGCAAGTGACAACCATAAAATCCTTCATGATCACAAACTTCTTACAATACAGTCGAGACGGTGCAGCAATTTCATTCCCAGAGCGCAGGAATCCCTGGGTTAGTCCCTTGGCCTTGTACAGTGAGAAAGTGTTGGATGGAACCAGTCTGATCTGAAAACCGTGTTGCTGTCTCTGAACCGAGCAGCCTTGTGTCTCGTAATTCTGCTTTCCATGTCAATGGAAGTAAAGGGGGCAGGGCAGGACTCAGGGGCCAACCTTGGCACTATTTGTCCCTTTGCTCCTTCCAACTGTTTGCAAAGTTCCCAGAATTACAAGGACAAGTTTTTCTCAGAATGTCGGGCCGTTGCCTTTCCCCCCTTCTTAACAACTAGATAACGGTCAGCAACCCTACAATAACAAAGCCGTCTTGCCAGCGTGGCCCTCACAAGCAGCGCGGTGCCAGGGAAGCAAACTCGCATGTGCAGCTGAGCATATTTGTGAGCAACCCTACAATAACAAAGCAGCCTCCTTAGCCTGACACTTGTGAGCCCTACGATCGGGGGTGAAAGTAACTTAAAGGACTTACTGGTACGCAGGGTTGGGGTCCTGAGCAGGGGGGCGGGGCCTCAACTCAAAGGGGGCGTGGCCTCGACCAGAAGAGGCGGGGACTTTAAATCCTCGATTTAAAGGGCCCGGGGCTCTGGCTGCGGTAGCGGTGGCTGGGAGCCCCAGGCCCTTTAAATCACTGCCAGAGCCCCATCGTAGTGGTAGCTGCGGCCAGGAGCCCCAGGGCTCTGTTGGCAATTTAAAGGGCCAGGGGTGCGGGCCGCTGCCTGGAGTCCAGGGCCCTTTTAAATTGCCGGCCTGGGGAAGCTGCCCTCTGCCAGTACAGTCAGCTGTGTACTGGCTCTTGGTGGTACGCCGTACCGTACCGTACCGGCTTACTTTCACCTCTGCCTCTGATAACAAACCTGCGTGCACAGCTCAGCATTGACCCCGGCGACATTACAGTAACAAAGCACACTGGAATGCAACAGAAGGTAATAATTGGGTATCCAGGTACATTTCAGTTACAACTTTCCTCAGGGCGATTATAAAACAGCAAGGCAAACCAACCCCGGATTTCCAAAAGTATGAAAATGAGGCCTGGTCAAAGGGCCTGTTCCTGAGCCATGAGATAGCAAGACGGCCTGAATGTGCTTCGAATTGTTGTACAATCACACGTGGATGATTCTTTTAAAATAGACTTTAATATAATCGTCAGCTGAATTTGCTACTAAGAAAAGACAGATTTCCCCTAGGGCTCTGGTGCTTGGTCTAACACTTGCACTATAACCAAGTCATTCAAATAAAATCAGGACGTTTCCCTTAAGTCCCCTCCCAGGGGATATTTTTCGGTATTTTCCTCGCTACAAATATTGATTAAAAAATAATTAGGGGCACCAGTCTAAATCATTAACCTCCGGGGAGTTAGATCAGGGATTAATCTGCGTGTTCTTTGTCTCCTAAAGCCTGTTGCTTGGAGCTGCCGGTACAGAAGTGGCTGCTGGGTTCCACCCCAGAGGCAGCTGCATTTCCAGTGTGAGATTAATCAGGCCAGCTCCTTCAGGTTCCAGTCTAGTGCAACTCCTAGCACTCAGGATGAAGAGAGCTGGAGAGACATAAAGTCGCTATTATGCCCCCCCTTAAAATAACCCAAAAGATTGTCGAGAGCCAGAGTACAAACACAGCAGGTGCTTAGTATTACAGCGGGTCTCTCGTGCCCTAGGAGAGCTGAGTCTTAGCTGCAGTCAATATAAAGGGGGTGATTTATTGAGGCTGACGCTACGCCCTTCTCTGCCGCAAGTCACATGATGTGACTCGGTTTCCCTGTCTGTCTAAGGAGGGTGATAACATAAAGCCACCCCGCACGGGAGTTGTGAGGCTAAATTCCTGGCAGATTTTAGTGTGTGTTGAAATCTGCAGATGGAAAGTTCTAGATGAGCAGTGTGATTAATCACTATTGATAGTGTGAAGCGTGTGTGGGGGAGGGACGGGTGCACACAACAGTGTGTATATGGGAGAGTGTCCTGGGAATGTGATGGGTGCACACACAGAACTGTGCAGGTGGGTCAGGGTAGGGCCACACCTATCAGACTGTGTGTTTGTGAGCACAAGTCAGAGGGGGTGTGTGCACGTGGAAACATGTGTTAGTTTGTGTATAAACAGTAGGGTTTGTGTGTGTGGGGGTGTATCATTTAGGGGTGTGTACGTACATGTGTGTGCAATGTCTGAAGGACAGGGGGTGCCTGTGTGCACGCAGTCGGTGTGTGTATGTGTGCCCATGGATCTGTGCGACGGACGGGGTGTGAATCTGCGTAGCCAGCGTTGCGTGTGCGTGCGTGGGAATGTGTGTGTGTGAAGCAGAGGGTGTTTGTGCGTGCGTGTAGGTGCCACACCGACTCTCCGTGCAGCGGGCGTCCCCGCCTGCCCCTCTCCCCGCCGCCTGCCCCGGGCAGCCCCCGCCAGCGCTGCCTCTGCCCAGCAGAGCTGGGTCCACCCCCGGCTGGTGCTCAACAGGTTTTGCAGTACACCTCGAAGAGGCTGGCCACCGAGTGCATGCGGTAGAAGATGCCCAGCGGCAGGGAGATCTTGACGATGATGACCCAGAGGGTGAAGCCGTAGAAGGCCTGCTCGATCTGGCTCACCAGGTGCGGGCGCGTCCCGTAGGCATAGAGAATCCACACCTAGTAAAGCAAAGGGGGCAGGCGTCAGCCGCAAAGGGGCGTGGGCCGGGCTGGACCCTGTGTCCATCACGGCCACCTCCTGGATGGACTCAGATGTGCAGGGCCCGATGCCTAGCGAACCCATTCGCTCCCCGCCCCGTTGAACCTGTCACCAAGGCAGGGCCAGGCCTCGTGCTTTCCTCCGGGGTGTGTCCATCCATTGGGAACGGGGCTGAGAACCACCAACTCATTGCACATCATCAGCCACCGAGCACCAACCCAGCAGTGATGCCTTTCGGTCCCTGCTGGGCCACGCTCCGTTCCGCCCAGCAATGAAAAGCCCCTGGGGGGGACACTGGCTCTCCCAGCCTGAGCGCTGCACAGATTTCACCCCCGCCGGCAGGACCAGCGCAGAGCGGATGGTGCTTACGCATATCCCCATGCCATGCACTGCCAGCAATGTGGGGACAGGGCTTGACTGGGGCCTGCCAGAATCTATGGGGTGTGTAGGGGGTCCCAGCTTCATAGCGAGGGTGCTGGTGAGGGGGACCCATGCGGAGGGACTCTGCCAGGAACAATCCTGCATTGGGCCAGAGGACGGACTGCATTACATGATGGGGGAACCCCCTTACATGATGGGGGGCCCTTGGACTTTGCTCAGTGATTATAAGGACAGATTTGTATTGGCGCAGAGCCCACAGGTCTGGCTGGGCACCGTGACTCCCCACACGAGGGTCTCTCCACAGCACTGTTTGCTGACAACCAGTCTCATTTGCCCTTTTCCTGCACCCAGCCCAGGAGGCGGGTGGGTGGCAAGTGCGCTCAGGGCGGCAGTGTGTGAGAGGAGGGGTGGGGTGCTGGGTTGTCCCTCCCAGGCACCATGAGGAGATGAAGGGCAGTGCCAGGGCTCTGCCAGGGATAGGACGGGTACCATCGGGCACTGCTGCCATCACCCTGGACACAGCGATCTCTGATCTGCGTGGGCTGAATCCATCCATCCTTAGAGTGAGAGCCTCAGCTGAACACAGAGCAGGGGAAGGGGTGACTGATCATGGCCTGTACACACCGACATGGGGAATACGGATCTGATACCGGGCTCTTCGCCCTAGCAGACAAAGGGCTCACACCATCCCCTAAACCCTCCCCCACATGGAGTCTTATTCACTGGGCAGAGCGTCGGGGGGGAGGGGGGTGAAGCTCCTGTGATCTCCGCGCAGGCCTGGGGGCCCTTACAAGGCACGGGCAGCGCAGGGAGAGGGAAGCTGGCATCTCCCAGCCCCACCAGCCACCCAAACACAATGGCCTTGCCTGAGAGAAACTGACTAGGAGACCTGCAGCACCTCAAACCACTGAAATGGTGGGAAGCAGTTTGGAGGTTTAAAGTCCATTCACTGTCAATGTCCCAGGGCCGGATCCTCAGCCGGTGCAAATCGGCTCAGCGCCATAGGCTGGGTCAAAAGAAATCTGATGAGGTTCAACAAGGACAAGTGCAGAGTCCTGCACTTAGGACGGAAGAATCCCATGCACTGTTACAGACTAGGGACCGAATGGCTAGGTAGCAGTTCTGCAGAAAAGGACCTAGGGGTTACAGTTGACGAGAAGCTGGATATGATTCAACAGTGTGCCCTTGTTGCCAAGAAGGCTAACAGCATTCTGGGCTGTATAAGTAGGGGCATTGCCAGCAGATCGAGGGACGTGATCATTCCCCTCTATTCGACATTGGTGAGGCCTCATCTGGAGTACTGTGTCCAGTTTTGGGCCCCCCCCTACAAGAAGGATGTGGACAAATTGGAAAGAGTCCAGCGGAGGGCAACAAAAATGATTAGGGGTCTGGAGCACATGACTTATGAGGAGAGGCTGAGGGAACTGGGATTGTTTAGTCTGCAGAAGAGAATAATGAGGGGGGATTTGATAGCTGCTTTCAACTACCTGAAGGGGGGTTCCAAAGAGGATGGATCTAGACTGTTCTCAGTGGTGGCAGATGACAGAACAAGGAGTAATGGTCTCAAGTTGCAGTGGGGGAGGTCTAGGTTGGATATTAGGAAACACTATTTCACTAGGAGGGTGGTGAAGCACTGGAATGGGTTACCTAGGGAGGTGGTGGAATCTCCTTCCTTAGAGGTTTTTAAGGTCAGGTTTGACAAAGCCCTGGCTGGGATGATTTAACTGGGGTTGGTCCTGCTTTGATCAGGGGGTTGGACTAGATACCTCCTGAGGTCCCTTCCAACCCTGATATTCTATGATTCTATGACAACTCTTCTGTCTCCTACTGTCCCCTTGCTAGCAGCCTCAAAAGGGCTGAATGGGGTTGTGACACTGAGCCCCCACCTCGTCCCTGGCCAGGGTCCCCCCAGCAGGGCTGTACGGATGAAGCTCGCTCTGGCGCTGACTGCCCAGCTCCAACTCGGAAGATAGACTGAAGACCTGAGCTCAGATCCTCAGCTGGTGATGGCTCGGTGGAGTGACGGCGATTGACACCAGCCGGGGGTGCGGCCGTCAGCCTCCAGTGCTCCCCGTGGGAAGCTAGAGCCCCGGGGCCGGACAGTCAGGCACCATGAGCCAGCTCACCGAGATGTTGTAGAAGATGAGGAGGATGGAGATGTTCTGCAGGATCTTCCTCCGGATGCTGATGCGTTCCGGCTCCCCGCTGGGCCGAGACTGCCGGCCCCCGGCGGAGATCTTGGCAAGGGAGTCATTGCTGCCGCTGCAGGCCAGCCAGCACCCCGGCACCTGCTCCTCCAGCTGGGCCACCATCCTGGCTGGCGTGTGGCGGCTGGCCGGGCAGATGGCGCAGTTACTCTCACGGCGGGCAGCCACGTCCTGCTGGACCGGCTCTTCGGCAGGGCCTCCGGAGATGGAGAAGACCCATTCGTTGCCCGGGGGGCTGTCGGGGGCGTCTGGCCGGTGGGCGGGCCTGGAGTAAAGGGCTTCGGTGATGAAGAGGTTCTGGCCCAGCACTTGGATGGTCTTGCAGAGGGAGAAGCAGAGGTCCAGGAGGTGGAGGCTGCCGTTGATGTGCAGGAAGAAGATGGCCACCAGGGAGAAGACGGAGACCATCAGGGGCCCGCAGGAGCTGCCCAGCAAGAGGGTGACGTCCAGGCTCCGCACCACGCTCTTGGAGCAGTCGGTGGAGGCCGGGTCTCTCTGGAGCCGGTAGGCAGCGATGCCGACCAGCGAGGCCAGGAACATGGCGGAGAGCAGCACCGAGTTGAAGATGTAGTAGGTCCGCAGGGCCTCGGGGACTGTCTCGGGGGCCTTGGCCAGCACCCCGAAGGAGATCATCACCCCGAAGGTGGCCGAGATGGCCAGCGCCCCCAGCACCAGCCCCACGAAGGCCCCGCTGAGGTGGAAGCGGCCCCGGGGGTGCGGGCGGGGCTGCCGGCGGCAGGCCGCCTGCCCCGTGTTCTTCCACACCACGTAGAGCATGGTGGAGGAGAAAAGGCTGAACTCGATGTTGAAGGGGTGCAGGTAGGCGGCGCCCTCGGAGAAGATGTGGCACAGGCTGGTGGCGCACGAGCAGCTGTTGGTGGGCGAACTCCCTGCAGGGGGTGAGGGGGGGGGGTCACTCAGCGCCAGCCTGGGAGTGGGGCAGCATGGGAGGGAGAGGGACTGGATGGGGGAAGGGCTGTGCATTGGGATTGGAGGGCAAGGCTGTCTGTGGGAGGCTGTGCCTAGGGGTGGGGGGACAGGGCTGTGAGGGGGAGGGGCTGTGCCTAGGGGAGGGGGGACAGGGCTGGGCGGGGCTGTGGCTAGGTGAGGCGGGAATGGGGCTGTGCATGGGGGAGGGATGAGGGAGGCTGTCCAGGGAGGTTGTGCAGGGGGGTAGGGGCTGTGCTGGGGGGTGAGGGGAAGGCTGTGGCTAGGGGAGGGGGGACGGGGCTGTGCGGGGGGGAGGGGGCTGTGCTGGGGG